TGCAAGATGACAATAAACTGTTGCGTTCACGATTCACAATTTGGATTCACAATTGAAGGGCAAGAGGATTCTGCCTTTACAAGATTCAAGTGGGAGTGACGGCGATGAAGGGAAGTTTGTGCTTTCTCCAGAAATCATGGGGCTGTCCAACGGACGCCTTTGAGGTCTGGCTTAAAAGACTCTCGTCAGCTAACTCACACAGAAACGGTGCAAAAATTTGTTTTAATGAACGTTTACATCAGTCTCTTACTATTGGAGCTGATAATCATAGGATCAGCCACCATTATTTGATTTGATAAGAGTCAGCAAATGTGCATTCTGGGTTCGTTGGTGTTAACATGGCATGCACCAAGGGATTACCAAATAGTGTGACAAGTGCGACGTAATGCATCGAAAGTCTTTAATTATGTTGTACGCGTCACAATTTACTTTATTTGCCATTGAAGTATTTAAAAAGAGAGATATTTGAGAGCATCTAACATAATACTGCGTTGGTAATGTGCCTCATTCGGAAACTTATTGTAACAAGCATCATTTCAACGTCTGGGTGCAATAGTTTTGTAAACAACTGACCAGCCGGTGCAAAATGCCAAGGATCTGATCTGTGGAGAAGAGTCTGCAGTCTGCTCCTGGCGTCTGTGCAGAATGAATTTAGTACTCTTCAAAACATGGCTAACATGCTCAGTGACTTCTGTGCGATGGTAAGTGCGCCTAATCAACATTTTTATCTTTTGTTCCTGTTCTCAAGAACAACTGAAACCGACCTTGGCCACGGCTTCGCTTGTTGTAATCACCACGCGGTAGTATTGGGGATATAGGCAAAACTATTTCCGGGAGCTTCCCGAGACTGAGAAAAGAAAGGACAGGTGGGTATCAGGTTTGTACAGGCCCCTCTGTCAAACAGCGTGACAAAAAGCGCCGAAGAGAAAAAGCAAGGAGCACAATTTACGGCGACAAAACTCCGAACAGCTAATAGGTATTTGACCAGGCACATGTTAAGAACGCGACGATTCGTATTGCGCAACACAGCCTGATTCGGCTCTGAGGGCAGAGTCCTCAGGGTTGAATGCGCTTCCCCGTGGTAAATTTTGCGATTGACACATTCGTCGCCAGCGAACACCACCCATGAACTACACGGACGTAATGTATATGGTTGTATTAGAGCACTTAAAATTCGAACTAAACCAACCGCAGTGAGCACTACAAGTGCTCTAGACCATTATTATTTCTAGCGCACAAAAGGTAAAGAACAAGTAAAAAATAGGCTCTGACGGCACGAAAACCTCAAGTGGTTAGCTTTTGTCAACAATAATAATAACTCGCAGTGAGGGCAACGTATATATATATATATATATATATATATATATATATATATATATATATATATATATATATATATATATATATATATATATATATATGTATAAATATATATGTATATATATATTGTCACGCAGTTTATTTACGTACAGACCTACTGGAAGGCCGAGGAACGCCAACAGGCCAAAAATACAAAACAAACGCAAGCTCGGGTCGCGCGCGTGCACCAACGCTGTGGCTTGCCGTTTCATGCTGCTTCGTCGTCGTTCGCATAGTTCCTTAGATTGGCCCCCGGTGAATAGCGTAGCCAACCTGGCGACTGAAGGCGTAGTCACTATAGCGGGGTCGTAATACGGCTTTAGGCGACTCACAGGCACAATTTCTTGGCCACGACGGCGTAAGCCATGAGACTTTTTCAAAGGCTCAATCTCGTAGTTGACTGGTGACGTACGGGCGAGAATGCGGTAGGACCCGTGGTATCGTGCCAGTAATTTCAACGAAAGGCCAGGAGTGCTCGGTGGAATCCAGAGCCAAACGAGAGCACTAGCCGTGAAAGCAGAGAGATGTCGGTCGGTGTCATGCCGTAGCTTCTGGTGGCCTTGGTCCTCGGTTGTCAGTGAACGGGCCAATCGTCTGCAATCTTCTGCGTACCTGGCAACATCAGAAATTGCAGTGTACTCAGAGGAGTCGGGCGTGTATGGGAGCACAGTGTCAAGCGTGCACGATGGTTCACGTCCGTACAACACAAAGAAAGGGGAGAACCCTGTTGTCGCGTGTGTAGCGGTGTTATACGCATACGTGACGAATGAAAGGACAGTGTCTCAATTGGTCTGGTCTGAAGCTGTGTACATTGTCAACATATCACCGAGAGTGCGATTAAATCGTTCTGTGAGGCTATTCGTCTGCGGGTTATATGCTGTCGTCATGCGATGAACCATGTTGCACTGAGCGAGCAACGCTTGAATGGCGTCAGACAAGAAAACACGCCCCCGGTCGCTCAAAAGTTCGCGGGGAGCACCGTGGCGAAGAACAAAGTTGCGCAAGATGAAAAACGCAACTTCCTTCGCGGTTGCGGCGGGTAGTGCTGCCGTCTCCGCGTAACGCGTGAGGTGGTCCACGCCGACAATTATCCACCTATTTCCAGAAGACGACATGGGAAGTGGTCCGTATAAGTCGATACCAGCGCGGTAAAACAGACGCGCTGGACAAGGCAGAGGTTGAAGTGTACCGGCAGGGTGTTGAGGTGGGACTTCACGTCGCTGGCATGCAGTACAAGCACGTACGTACTTCCGCACAAATGTGTACATGCCGCGCCAGTAGTACCGCTGACGTAGACGGTTGTACGTTTTGAGAGCGCCAGAGTGAGCGCTTTGCGGGTCGTTGTGGAAAGCAGTACAGATTTTCGAGCGCATGTGGTTGGGTATCACTAGAGGTTTTTAGTTTGACGTTTTTACTCTCCGCTTAGCAGCTAAGCGGAGCGGGAACGCGAGTGCGCATGCGCCCTCCGCTAAGGCTTTAAGCGGGTTACCGGAGCGGGGGATACGGTCCGCTTACGAGCAGCCTAAGCGGAGCGCGGTGCGTCGCTGCCGTTTTTGCAAGCGGAAGGGGTACAACCCGCGCGCCCTCTCTCGTGCGTGCAGCAACTTTGCTCATTTCAAGATGGCTGCCTCCGGAGATGGCACGTTTTCCGCGAGTGCTGCAGCTTGGCTGTCACCTGCCCAGCGCAAGCCGCGAAAACGCTTTCGCATCGATGAAGATTTGTGCCTCTTGAAAAAAGTGGTGTGTACTGACCCCTTCAGCAATCCCGCCGCGTGGGAGGACGTGCTTCGAAACGTCATGAGAGCGATAAATGGCGAGCTGACAATTCGCGGCATCAAAGAGGGAGTAGACCTCCTCATCGGATATTTTCGACAGCAGGACACAGTGAACCTGAGGAAGTGAGTGCTTCCTTACTTCATTAGTAAACGCTGTTCAAGTGCTGTAGATGAAACATTCGCATCGTAACGTGCTTGATTTCTCCGTAGGTCCGGCGCCGAAGAACAATATGGAGAGCGGGAGCAGCTGCTTCAGGGCGTATCGGACCTCATGAGGGAGGTCGATTATGCCCCCAGAACCGCGCCGCGGAAGGCAAACGGCATGAGGCTGTCGAAAAAAAAACGGCGTGGGGCCACGACAGCCCACTCAACAATTAGCATCGGCCAAGGCGCGTAGAGCCCAGGCTCTGCTAATTAGGGATGCTGCAATGGCACCTTTACCCGCTGTCCGGGCCTCAGACGACGGACAGAAAAATGGCAAGTAATCTGGAGTGGAGGGTAACAGCAACCCACCCCTAAACTTGTACTATGAAAACTGTGAAGTGTTCATCTTGGCGATATCTGTATCGGGAGTCACGGCATGTATTTCAATGGGAGTGTTCACAGAATGAATTGTTGTGACACAGTAGTCAGACAGGTTACTTAGCTGGAAAGTTTTCACTATAAATATTACATTATTCAGTAATATGCTGGCCACTGTGCCTGTTCATTATATGACATTGATCCTCAGGCAGTCGATATACTACAGTCCCACGTTGTGGATGTGTGATGTACTTAATCGGCACTCAGTGAGAAATGACTGAATTTAAAAATAATCTAATGCTTTGTTTCAGCTTGCTGAATGTTTTTCATAACTTCATTAACTTATTTGTGAATTAAGCTCATTAACTGGGAAAAAAATATCTATTTTGACAGATATAGGGAATAAAGGTAGTTTTTATTCTGTGTGGATTATTTCTTCAGGGGTCCTATAGTATTACTAATGACATTCTCATTCATGTGCCTCGTTTTCTATGTGCAGATGAGGCAACAGCCACAAATATGCTGTTGGCAATCTATGAGGATGAGCTCAGTCAGCCACCACGTAGAGGTGACGGGACAGCAGGCGACAGAACCACAACCAGCCCAGCTGGAGAGGTGCCGGCTGCTGCACCAGGCGTGCCGGCTGCTGCACCAGGTATGTGCAAAGTACATTAGATGCAAAATATATCTTTATTTACTTATTCACAACGTGTACAACAAGGCACATTAAACAAATGTTCGTAGGCAAAAAACACACGAGAAGCAAGTGCACCCTTATTACTATGCAAATGTATATTCTTTAATACTACTACTAGCAGAAATTCGCACATGAAAGTGTTTATGCACGATGCTGCAAGGCAAGTTGCACCGTGTAATCATTGTGCAAAATACTACAAAACATAAATTAAAAAGTGATATACACAATGCCTTAGCTGATATGCTCAGTGCCTAACTTCTGATGATCATTCATGCCCTTGTAGCACAGGATACCTTGGAAACAGATACAATAGAGGACAGCGACGCTGACCAGGACGCTCAAGGGGGCAACGCTGCCGATGATGCTGAAGGGCCCCTTCGTGCACCGGAACGGCGGCGTTACAGACAGTCTGCTGTTCCGACAGGTATTGCAAATCAAACTTGCATGATTTTTCAAGTTGCACCAGATGATGCATCGCTCTCATTGCTTTGAAATAACATTCATGCGCTACATGTGATTTGTTTGCTTGTTTTTTCAATGCCAATTCGAGGCTTGGCATTCATCATATCCGAATGTGATAAGATGGCGCTGATCCCAGAGTAAATTAGTTATGAGCTGTAACACTTTAGAAGTACGTCATTTGTGTTCTACTTCATTTTATAGGCATCAGAGGCCTCCAGGCCCTTGGACTGCAGCTGCTTCTGAAAAGGGAAGAGAATGATTTCCTTCTCCGGCAGAAGGAAATGGAGCTAGAACACCGACGGCTGGACCTCGAGGAACGTCGTACGACAATAGCAAAAAGAAAACTAACATTGGAGGAAGAGCGCTTGAAAATGGAGGCTCAGCGCCAGAGTTCTACTGAAATTCTCCAGGAAATAAGCAACAAGCTTGATCAATTAGAAAAAAAATTACTAGCCTACACAAATAAAGAAACTGTGTCGAAGGAATCCGCTCAGTTCTTTGGTCTCAAATATTCTTCCAGCTGAGGAGGTTCAACTTCAAAGTATTGAGATACCTGTGAGCTATACATACAAGTGTGGCAATTAGCAAGTATTGTGCCAACTTTGTACATACGTGACACGTTCTGCCGTTTGAGTCTCTGATTTTTACGAAAATCCAGAAAAGCAAACAAGCCTGCAATCTTTTCGAAACCCCATTCGACTGCTTGTCTAACGGAACTCATTCTCTTGTTGAAAGCCCGCTGCTGCACAGTCACGTTCCCGCCATAAGGTTTCAGCAGCAGAGGTCGCAGTGGATAGGCAGGGTCACCATACAAACAAAAGCTGTGGCCTTTGGCAAGCTTCTCTAGCTTGCGATAGGTGTTGCTCTTTCGAAGGATACCTGGAAATACAGGAGCACATGAAAACATATTGCCACATGACGTGCGACACTGAAGGGGAGATGCGGGTCGAAGACACTTTTTTTTTAATATTCATTCGAGAGCAATGAAACTTGAGGTGCTTATAGAACTTTTTATGCTGATTTCGAATATATAATGAGTTGTCTTGCAAGTTGCATACTTTTAGTTTTGCAACATGACAAAGTGAAAAACTTAAGCCCTTTGCCCCCCTCTTTTCATACCTAAACTTCATTAATTTTTTACAATTGATAGTTCATAATGTTTCAAATGAAGTGTGGAATGCAAACAACTAATTTGGAAGTCCATACAAAATATGTACTAGACGTGAAAAATTTTAACGTGGGAAGTTCATATTTCTCCTACCCTAGTAAAAGTTTACATAACTTTTTTTTATTATATAAAAAGAATATTGAAACTTAAACAAGATAATTGCATTTCTCGTACTTTGGAAAAAATTTGGGAAAAATTTCATGCAGATCTGAGCACCAGAAGTACCCGAAAAAGGAGGGGCACATTGACAAAAATGGCAAAATTTGTGTTTTGAGAAAAAGAAGTTTTAAAGTCAAAATTGCATGTTTATTTATCAAAGATGTCATTGAATGCGACGAAATTTGTACACAAGAAAGAAAAATCCTCCTTGTAGTAGCCACTGCCATTACAATCGGACTAGCTGCTCGTAGCCCATGCCTACAGAGCGCGCCGCCACAACAGCTTTCACGTTGACAGCGTAGCTATCGCGCGAGCTCCCGCTGTCGTATGTTCTCCTCGCGGTCAGTCCGTCACCCGCCACGCTCACGCTGGCCTCCCCGCCTGAAGCTACTCGCCGCGAAGTATATGTCGCCGAAAGAATAGTCTCGGGGCACTCACTGTTTGGGCAGTGGAGTTCGACGAACGACGCAAGTCCTTTCCGCTTGTCGGCCGGTTCCCGGACACGTAATCCCAAATGGCGACACGTCGGACACATTGCACCGTGCGCAACAAGCATGTTCAGTGCTGTCACATCAGCAATCAACGAAGACTCGTCATCCTGTGATTTTTTTTCGTCTTCGAAGAGTCCGATCTTTTTCTGGGAGGCACTCACATATTCGAATGCTGCGGCAAACTCGTCGGGCGCATCGGCGTCTTTGCCACTACGTTTTGCGGCAGCAGACGATCTTTTCGTGGTTTGAGTGTTCGGCTTTGATTTGCGCCGGCGTCCTCGAAATTTGTGCGCCGCGTGAAACTTCACAGGCCGGTGACCGCGCTTCCTACGGCTTTCTTCATCCATAACGAATAAGCACTCGAGAAAAGCGTTGTTCAGCTGTGCTGCTCGACGAGACACGGATCCTGCAAGTAGGCTTCACAGCACACACAGGCGCGCAGCGGCTAATGGCGGCTCCCGATCCGTACCACGTGATTTAAAAGCCAGTCGCGGCGCTCGAAAAAGGCGGCAGAAGCGCGCTTCTCTTTATTATTTCTTGCGTTGCAGCAGCGCGGGAAACCGTCGCTATTTGAAGAGTGAGGCTCGGTTCTTCGCCTCATGCGGTCGACAATGGCGAGCAGCAGCGCATTATCAGCGGCAAGGTGCTCGAAGATGACACACTTTCGGCCTTTTGACAGCCATCTTGTGCTCTTCAGACGCAATTTTAAAGCATTTCCAGTTGATTCTCGACATAGATTTTTTTTTCAGAATAGTAGAGGTACTAATCTTAACAAAACAGGCGAAAACAAAAAATCGATAATTTTTTAGAAAATTCTCGTTTTTCGACCTGCATCTCCCCCTGAATGCTTCATAAAATTCTTGCCACTTCCGAATAAATTTACACAAATGTTAAGTGGACTCTGTAGTGTGCACTTTTTAGATGCACTCTTTCCAAATAAAAAAAAAAGAAAAAGCTTTGATGCCTATCCAACTAGGAAGGTTTCTTCACAGTGCTATGCAGTAAAACACATTTATAATGCATTTATAAATAGAACCTGCATGGCATTACCTGTGACGAGTTATGACTGAAGACTTGTTGCAGAGTAACAAAGAAAACTTGGCCACAGCATTATATTGGTAACTGGGGCATGCATTTATCATTTTAGCTTGCACCTTATTCTCGAAATAAACAGTTCACAATTTTTTCAGGTTCTCTTTGCAACACCATTAAATTTGAATAATATGCTGCTTTCTGCTGTAACCACAATTAGTTGTCCCAGACTGAGTGTTCTTCACAACAATAGTACGAAGTGATAGCTTGTTTGCTGAAGTAGCACAGAGCACTCCCTCAGATAGGCGCGATGATGGTTTTTTTTTTTTTGAAGTTGGACAATTAGGACGGGGCTCAGTATAACAAAAATAACTTGCCTGCGTCATGCCGGCTGCCGACGTACGGACCGTTCAGTTGGCAAATGATTCCATTAGGACACATGATGGACTGATATTTAAGGGCGTGAAAGCGCTTATGCCCTGAAAAGAACCGCTTCTGGTCCTTCGATGGACGGCAAACGGCTCGTGCTGTCCCGTCGATGAAGCCCCAACAGTTATGCAACGGCGCCCCTTTGGAATGCACAGCCTGCGATAAAATGTTGTATTAGATTAGAAGTAACACAACAAATTAACAAACTTCATACCTCGGAAAAGAGTCGGAGTTTAGCGCTGTCCAGCCAGGTGTGGTTATTCACATCTCGCAGCAGATGTCCAAACGTGCTGTCAATGTGCGCGAGCACTGCATTAGTGGCTGAAGAAATCACTGAATAATGCCGCCCGAACAGCGGCTCCAGTTCTCGCAGCCTATTGGGATAAGCCAAACGCCGTAGCGTAAGGCAGAGTGCCTCAACTCCGGAAACGTGCACGCCCTGCGGCGTTGTCACATTTTCAGGCACTTCTGTGCACGGCACAGGCTTCACACATCATCTCTTTCAAACCTAAAATACGTGCGAAATTGTCCTCGGTCCATGCTGTCGATGTTCAAGAGGCCATGTCGTGACAGCGGGTCTAACCGAGTGTATTGGAAGACTTCAAGGCACAACAAGTCCTCGATTTCAGACCACTTTAAAAGACCCATCAAAAATGGGTCCTCTAGCACACTTGTCGGAGGCATCAATGGTTATGCAAACACAGTTTCAACGGTGAAAAATGAAAACTCCGCCACCACACACGCGTCAAAAGCGCAAACAACACACAGTGAATGCTTGCAATGGATCTGGAACGGAACCTTGTTGGCTTTTGAGTGGCTACTATCAAGTCAGAGCTTGCTTCTTTGTCAAAAAAAAAAATAGACGGTTAATACATTGAAAGTGGATTTTAAATACTTCATGAAAAGATAATTTATACGTTACTGTTTTGCTTTGTATACGTGAAAAAATGTTTTTTTATTTTGTTTACCGACGATGAAACGACCAGAGGGCGCTGCAACTGCGAAAGGCACGCTTCGCTGCCGGCAACGAAAAACTAAAAGAGAAAATTCAGCCGCCGCTCCGTTGCGGCTTCGCGGGTGCTCCCGGAGCAGGGCGGACCACAAAAACGTCAAACTAAAAACCTCTACTAACAGCCACCTCCGACCTTCGCACGTGTAATTCCGCCGATAGAGTAGGTCATCTCGAATAGCGAAATGTGTGGCTTGACGGCGGATAGTTCTCGAGACCAAATTAGCTAGCGGATCAGTCATATAGGCGAGGAGTTGGGAAATCCATACATCTTTGCGTTGTTCCGATGCCATGCCTGTGAAGTGGATTGGTGTTATGACAGCTGAAGAAGGGGACGAGGAGGTTGGGTCGGCCGGTAGCGGCGAGCGGGATAGCGCATCAGCGTCGGAGTGCTTGCGGCCGGATTGGTATACAACACGAATGTCGTATTACTGTAGGCGAAGCGCCCAACGACTAAGGCGCCCCAACGGGTCTTTGAGCGGTGACAGCCAGCATAGAGCGTGGTGGTCCGTGACGACTTCGAAAGGGTGGCCATAAAGGTATGGGGGTAACTTCGTCAAAGCCCAGACAATTGCGAGGCACTCTTTCTCCGTGACGGAATAATTACACTCGGCATTCTTGAGGGTTCGACTCGCGTAAGCGACCACGTATTCTTGGTACCCTGGTTTTCGTTGTGCCAATACAGCACCAAGACCGACACCACTGGCGTCGGTGTGGACCTCCGTAGGCGCATTGGGGTCAAAATGACGTAGTATTGGAGGTGATAATATTAACCGCCGAAGCGCAGTGAAGGATTCATCGCACTCTTTTGACCAAGCAGACATGCCTTTGGAAGTTGCCAACAGGTTGGTAAGAGGCGCGATGATGGAAGAGAAGTTGCGCACAAATCGACGAAAGTATGAGCACAGGCCGATAAAACTTCGAAGTGTCTTGATGGAATTGGGCTTCAGATAGTCGGCCACGGCGCGGAGTTTCGCCGGATCCGGGAGAACACCCTCTTTGCAGACGACGTGACCCAGTATAGTGAGCTGACGTGCGGCAAAATGACACTTCTTGATGTTAAGTTGAAGGCCAGCAGAGGTGAGACACGTGAGAATAGCACGAAGACGAACAAGGTGAGTTGAAAAGTTGCGAGAAAAAACGACGATGTCGTCTAGGTAGCAAAGGCACGTGTTCCACTTGTAGCCGTGAAGGATGGTGTCCATCATCCGTTCGAAGGTAGCTGGGGCATTGCAGAGTCCAAACGGCATGACGTTAAACTCATACAGCCCATCAGGTGTTACAAATGCAGTCTTCGATCAGTCAGGATCAGCCATTGGAACTTGCCAATATCCTGAGCGTAAATCTGAAGCGGAGAAATATTCTGCTCCTTGCAAGCAATCGAGAGCATCGTCGATGCGTGGCAACGGGCACACATCCTTCCGAGTTATCCTATTGAGCCGCCGGTAGTCGACACAGAATCTAATAGACCCATCCTTTTTGCGCACAAGTGCAACAGGGGACGACCAAGGGCTCTGCGATGGCTGGATGACACCACGCTTGAGCATATCGTCGACTTGTTCGTTGATAATACGGCGCTCTTCCGCTGAAACTCGATATGGTCGTTGGCGTAAGGGAGCATGAGTACCGGTGTCAATATGGTGCGTTATGTTCGCTGTGCATACATTGTACGTTGTATAGGACTCACCGGAGTGCTGGACACGTTCAGCAAGCTTCCATTTGGCGATGTCTGCACGTACAGAAGGGTTGGCAAATATCTGACGGAGCTGCTGCTTAAAGGTAGGCCAGTCTGGGAAATCCAGGTTGAGAAACCGTCTTAGCGACATCCGCCAGGTAGAAAAGTACACGGGACAGCTTCACAGAATCATGCCAATAGTTAAGCGCACTCACATGGTCGTACTCATCCAACCAGTCTTCAACGTCTTCACCACGAAGGCCGGAGAACATCGGGCGATCTTTTTGAGGGGCGGTTACAGTCCAAGAAAGCATGCCCAGGGGTGCAGGCGGGGTGGATGGAGCCGTGTTGTTGTGCTCGTCTTGCGACATGACCACGATTTCAACAACGCTCTGTCAAAACAGAACCTGTCTGTATAGACAGGTTCCGTTTAAGAGAAACCTTTCGATCAACGAAAGCGCAGCAATGCAGCAACTGAAAGGTCGAGGTGATATCATAATTAAACGAGCTGAAAAGGGGGAGCTGTGGTACTACTAAACAAACACGATTATGACAGCGAAGCTTCCAGACAGCTTTCCAACAGCACTTTTTACAGGCGGCTAGACAAAGACCCCACTGAGCAGCTCAAATCTATCCTTATACGCACGCTAACTAACCTCATTGAAAAGCCGAAAATTCCCGATTCGGTTCTGCATACCCTCGTTCCACTAAGTCCAGTCGCGGATCGCTTTTACCTCCTGCCAAAAATACATCAGTCAGGAAACCCTGGTCAACCCATCGTTTCTGGCATTGGTACAGTTACGGAGCTGGTGTCCCAATTTGTAGATACAGTAATTAACCGAATTTCGTCTTCTTTTCCATCATACATCAAAGACACAAACCACGTCTTGTCCGACATTGTTGACCTCTCTGTCTCTCATACCTACTCCGTACAAACTATCAACTTTCTTGACGTAACAGTGACAATGTGTGACGGCAAGCTTGCCACTAAAATTTACAGAAAGCCAACTGATACTCAACAGTACCTTCATTTTAATAGCAACCATGTCAAGCACTCTAAAACCAGCATACCCTATAGCCAGGCCCTTCTTTTTAAAAGAATATGCTCCCAAGAAACTGATTTTATTTCCAATCGTGCGCAGCTTCGGAGTGCTTTATTGAAACAGAAATACCCTTCCAAGATTATAGATGACGCCATAAAAAGGGCAAGTAACCAGGACCGCAAAACGCTTTTAAGCACCAAAAATAAATAGCCGGTTTTTTCTTGCACTAACCTTGTTCTAAAATTTTCCGCGCCTGCGCAACACGTAAATTCCATTTTAAGAAAGCACAATAACATACTTCTACAAAGCGAACGACTTAAACCAATTTTCCCAGAACCACCGCGTGTGACGTACAGAAGAGCGCAAAATCTGCGTGACCTACTCATGTCGTCAAAAAGCGTACGCAGTAAACCTACTGGCTGCCGTCCTTGCAACAAACCTTGTTGCAAAGTCTGCCAGCATATGAACACTTCACTTATCGCAAACAGCACCGCATCTAACTTCAGCGTGAAAATAAATGGTGACTATAACTGCGACACGCGTAATGTAGTTTACCTTCTGGAATGCTTGATTTGTGGAATGCAGTACTTAGGCGAAACCGAAACACCCTTCCGATATCGGTTTAAGAATCACAAGGCTCATATCATTTCACTTCCTCACCTTCCAATATCAAGGCATGCTAACGCAATGGGCCACTCATTTGACAACATTAGAGCCACGATTCCGGAGTCTGGATTCCGAAGGCATTATGACAGGGAAGTGCGCGAATCATTTCTCATCTTCAAGTTGAATACAATCGCAGGCGGTTTAAATGAGAGTATGGGGAAACTCAGCGTCTTGCATCAGTGACCGCTGTAGATGTTATTGCTTGTACCAACTGTAATCCTTGTGCACATGTCGTGACTTGCTATTTGATTGCTTATAAGTAGAATGTCATACGGGGGCCCCCATATACATTTCATGTCTGATTGTTGTACTTGTTTTTATGATGTTTCCACTCACGTGATTATTGCAAGTGAAACGTATGCGCTTATATGCTGTTGCACAACTGTTACCTCTGTTATTCTGACGAAGGCCGGTCCCACGGCCGAAACGTAAACAAACTTTTCTGTTTTTCGATCGACGTGTGTCTTCTTTTTATTCATCATATATATATATATATATATATATATATATATATATATATATATATATATATCAGTAGCGTTTCGTCAGCTTCTACAGAGCTGAAGGAACGCTACTGCTGCGATCACTCTCGAGAAAAAGCGGTTGTGCATTCGGTAATATCGAGATATAAAGGTCAACTACAGACAAATTAGAAGCTCACCTCCTCAGGCAAATATTTAATAGTGAATGCATAAGCACCTGTATGTGGCAATGATGCTCAAGAAGTCTTCCCGACCTTTTCTTTTTTTCCGATGAGTTGCAACTTTGCGGAGAAATAAACACGCGCAATCACTGCTCCAGGCTGAAATCGTAATGTAAAAGCGCAGGTCTGCTTCTTCACGCAGGCCCGTGAAGAAGCCAAATGCATTTGTCCCGCCGTGGTGGTCTAGTGGCTAAGGTACACGGCTGCTGACCCGCAGGTCACGAGATTGAATCCCGGTTGCGGCGGCTGCATTTCTGATGGAGGCGGAAATGTTGTAGGCCCATGTGCTAAGATGTGGGTGCACGTTAAAGAACCCCAGTTTCTCCAAATTTCCGGAGCCCTCTACTACGGCGTCTCTCATATTCATATGGTGATTTTTGGGACGTTAAACCTCACATATCAATCAATCAAAGAAGGGAAATGCAGGTGACAGGATAAGCACTAATTGGCCCCGCCACGGTGGTTTAATGGCTAAGGTACTCGGCTGCTGACCCGCTGGTCGCGGGATCAAATCCCGGCTGTGGCGGCTGCATTTCCGATGGAGGCGGAAATGTTGTAGGCCCATGTACTCAGATTTGGGTGCACGTT